AATATTTATACCATAGAAAATATTGAAAACAAGTTAGGGCAAAATTATTACAGAGTTGAGGGCAATGATAGGCAGTATTTACGATTTGAGTTGCTGAATGTTTGAGGGCTGCTTGGCACTTATTCCGACGCTAAATGACTTTTGTTCGGATGGGTTTGCCGCTTGTTCTGCAAAGGCTTATCGCACTCATTGTCATCTCTTGCCAAAGCAAACAACTCATCATCTGCCCACACGGCACAAGTGTGAGAACCGCCCGTTGAAACTGCCAAAACTTGTCAGGAATCTGCCGGCACACCACACTGCCCGTTATCGTTCAATCCAAAGCAGACGAGCTGACCATCTGCCCGCACTGCACAGGTATGGCCATTGCCCGCTGAGACTGCCACAACTGGTCCCAAATCTGCCGGCACGTCACACGGCCCATCTTCGTTCCTTCCAAAGCAGACGAGCTGACCATCTGCCCGCACTGCACAGGTATGATAATAGCCCGCTGAGACTGCCACAACTGGTCCCAAGTCTGCCGGCACATCACACTGCCCATAGTAGTTCGATCCAAAGCAGACGAGCTGACCCTCTGAGCGCACTGCACAGGTATGATAGAAGCCCGCTGAGACTGCCAAAATTGGTCCCAAATCTTCTGGCACATCACACTGTCCATAATGGCCGGCTCCGCTCGTGGGTCCAAAGCACATAAGATCACCATCTCTTCGCACTGCACAGGTATGACTACCGCCCACCGAAACTTCACGAAATGGTCCCGAATCTGCTGGTACATGACATTGTCCTTGGCATTTGGCTCCAAAGCACTTGAGCTGACCATCTGTCCGCACTGCACAGGTTTGAAACTCTCCCGCTGAGAAATCTACTGGCGCACTCCACTTCCCATCAACCTCCCTACCATCTCTTGCCCCTCCAAAGCAGACGAGCTGACCATCTGCCCGCGCTATGCAGGTAGAAGCAAAGCCTGCTGAGACTGCCAAAACTGGTCCCAAATCTGCTGGCACGTCACACTGCCTACCTGTGTTCAATCCAAAGCAGACGAGCTGACCATCTGAGCACACTGCACAGGTATGACCATTGCCCGCTGAGACTGCCAAAACTGGTCCCAAATCTGCTGACAACTCACACCGCGGCTCAAAGCTGAGCGCACTGCATCCTAACAGGCCATTCTTCCTCACTACACGCTTGCTGAGTGCGGAGGTCCCTGTCCATCTTTGCATATGTTGGGAGGAGCCCTGGAGTTGATGTGGCCGCGCGAAACGTGACTGAACCAGCACCTGAAGACACAAGGAGCCAGGACGTACTGTAAGAAACGCCTGCAATGCCAGCGTGGGCAGCCAGGAGAATATTGCAAGTGCCAGGCCAGCCTTCATGATCCTCAAGAAATTCATGCCGAAATGTTCTACAGAGGGGCCACATCAAAGACTAAAGCCTAGACAAGCAGTTCTCTACGATGCCATACAGAGAAGCTGAAACGTTCCCACGAGCGTGATGCAATTACCCTTTCTTGGTTGAAGGTTACATATAACTTCACTGTTGTTATAACCTTCTTCCTAAACCTTATTGCTCTTATAGGTATTTTATTAGAGAAGACCATTTCCATGTTCAAGGGTTAGGGATTTCGGGTTGGGGAATATGGTTTTTCTATGGGGGTATTGGTGTATGGGTTTGAGGTTGGGGTTCTTCTATGGGGTGGTGTAGGGGTCTCTTCGTGGTTCTATCATGTGGATCTTACTATGGGTCTTTCGGTGGGTTTAGGGTTGAGGTATAGGTTGCTATGGTTTTGGGTCTTCGGGTGGGTCTTTCCTAGGGTTCTACCTATGGGTTTTGGGTTGGGTTGGAGTTGAGGTATAGGTTGTTATGGTTTGGGTGCTAGGGGGTGGGGCATGGTTAGAAAATGGAAATGGTCACTGCTAACTGTCAGCAGATGCATGTGTGTATGTATATGTACACACATACATATAAACATGTAGCATGTATGTGTTTATATCTATGTATATGTATATATATATATACTATACCTACGACTATAGAGATTAGTTGGAAGAGTCCCGCCTTCTTGCCCGCGTAGCGGCCCTGATGGAAATTGGCTCCAGGTCAATTGGCTCAGGGTTCGGGCGCAGGTCTCTGAACCCTAGACCCTAAACCCT